GAGCACTCGAAATTCTACCAAGGAAGACATATATAAGTTGAATTGAAATGAATTAAAAACAATTTTAAGTGGACACACAGTTACTGTATTACAAACCATGACACCATTCTTTTTTATGGAAAAGGAGGAAAAAGAAAGGGGGGATGTAAACAATGACACTTAAATTATCTTGGTTCATGTGATGTAATGATATTTTCCTATTTATCTTTATCCTGCCCGACTCAAGTGAGTTGTTTATTTTACTTTATTAATATATAATTCCTGAATATCTAGTGAATAATTCACTACTTGTGACCCCCTCGAGTTCTTAAATTTTTTCAATAATTTCATGTATACATACTGTACTTATTTCATCTCTCCTTTTCCTCTCTCCAACCCATCCAGTACACACACACACACACATGCACGCACGCACAATAAGTACATAAATACAATGTACTGTGTTGGGGAATATTATTCTAGGGTGTGTGACTTTCGTTTATGCTGCATTAGTTTAACTCTGTGAAGCTGTGTTACTGTACCTGTCTAAAACACCTGGTGGTCCTAATAAAGAACTGAGTGGCCAATATCGAGGCAGGAACAAGGACAGGTAAGGCTGGCAGGCAGAGAGTATAAATAGAAGGAGAAACAAGGAAGAGAAAAGCAAGAGAATGAAAAGAGGAGGATGTCAGGGGCCAGCCACCCAGCCACCCAGCCACCCAGCCACCCAGCCACAGAGTAAGAAGGAAAATGAGATATACAGAGGTAAAAAAGATAAAAGCTCAGAGAGGTCAAAGGTAGATAGGTTAATTTAAGTTAAGAAAAGCTGGCTAGCAACAAGCCAAACTAAGGCTGGGCGTTCATAAGTAATAATAAGACTCTGTGTGTGATTTATGTGGGAGCTGGGTGGTGGTCCCCTCAAAAAGTCAAAAGAGTAAAACACTGCACAACACTAATGAGTCCATTTAGTTTTGCTCCTATGTATATGTGGTTAGGGGTGATCACTAGGTGTTAGATAACCAATTAGGGAGATCATCCCAGGGGAAGACTGATTTTCCCTCTCTCAGTTATCAATTAATGACCCCTTGTAAATGACCCCCTTGTAAAAATACAGATTCATGGGCCCTAGAAATTAAGTTGGAACTCTGCAAGCTTTTGGCATCCTAGAATGTGAGATGCCTATTTTCAGAGGGTGTAACACCAGCATACTGAGTCATGGAAAGAATATGGCAAACAAATGAAATGCCAAAGAAAACAAAGCCCCTGATCCTATTCAATGAAAGTTCCTTGAGCAATTAACTCTAGTATCTTTGCCTAACAGATCACTTTTAGGAAATGACTAAGGTAAGCAGTGTAACCACTGCTTCACTGCCATGTAATTCTTAAATAATGAGGATTAAGGATATGCTGGAACAGAAGGAGATCACCAACATTTGCAGAGTGAGCTCTTGCAATTGGACCAAACATTATTACTTCATTCACTAGACACATTATTTGTAAGTTTACAATGACTTTAATGGAGTCCAAAGACTGACTGATTCGCTGAAAGGGGATGATTTATCCCTTTATTTTGTAGAAGTAGACAGTAACCAACACTTTCTTTGCCAATCTAGAACGACTGAAAAATTCAGCCTAGCTCAGGTGATGGCTGGTATTTCTTTATGTGTTACTAATGGATGTGAGTATTCAATACCACCACCAGAATTCTCCTGAAAGAAAATTTTCTATGTACACTTGAGAGTCCCTCAGGTTTTACTCAATTCTTCAGTTGACCAATGGGTGGGAACAAGCTACGAAACAGCTTAGGGATTTCTCTAGAGAGTAACAAAATGTAAGTACTTGCATCACCCATGGTAGCTCTCCCTATTCTTAACCCAGGCACTTGTGGTTTTCTTCTCATGTAATCTTGCCACAGTCTCTCAAACTCACATTGCTTTCTTCTGGAATGCAAAATGCATCTCATTAGCTTTTCCACTAAGGCCAATTTATGTAAATCCATTATTAATTAAATAATTGGAGTGACCTTGGTTTGCAAGGAAAGAAATAATGTGGCATGGAGGCATAGGAGAAATATTAGGACTGGAAGCATTTCTGCCTGTCCAGTCCCTTTCATTTCAAAACCAGCAGGATACAATGCAAGTTCCACACCAAGAGCCTGTAGGTCAACACAGGGAAGTGGCTAAAACTCTAGCCTGTACTCAGGCTCCCTCTGCCCCCAAGCTCTTCCCCTCTTTCTCCTTCCCAGTCACTATGGGTGCTATAAAACTGAGATATTCCATATATTTATATGCCACAGACTGCTCTAAATAAGTGATGGAAAAATTTAAAAAACCAGAAACTCAAAGACTAGAGGATTCTATCTTTTTTTCTGAGAATTGCTTATTAATGTGGCTTTTAGATTCATAATATCTCTAGTTTGCAATTCATTTGCTGGTCAGAAAGAACCCATGCCATCTGCTGTAGGCGACCAATAAACAGGCTACATTATTTGATCTCTAGCAGGGAGACACTTGGTAGTTAGATTTTCAAAAGTAAGAAACCAAGATTATTTCTTTTTCTGTTGACAGAGACATGTTAGAATCCTGATTTCCTGCAGCTTTGCTGAAAACAAAACGATCTTTCATTAGTGGCCTACTGAATCAGATGTGGTAGCTAGAGTAACGATAACGTTGAAGCCTTCAAAGTTGACATGATGAGGACAACACTCATAGGGAAACTATTTGTATTGTTATCAAACACTTGTAGAAGAATCATTCCGTGTAGATCCAGTTCTGGATCCAGTGTAAGGAAGCATACTGCAAGCTTTATGTGCACAGTGGACAGTGTCCCAAGCACCTTTGGAAACTGCTTTTCAGCTAGCAAGTTTTGAATCTTTCTGGATAATGCTCTGCCCAGTCAGCTCCCTTTGATTTTACAAGAATGAGCTGATCTTAAACACACCATTGTAGCTTTGACTATGTAGATCAGGAGCATTCAGGAGTGCCAAGAAGAAAAGACACATATGGTCCAGTGATGGAAATTCAGGCTTGCTCATGTGCGTGAATCAATAAAAGAGAGCCCACGTTTTGTTCTCATTCTACAGAATCAGCTGAGGAGTTTGTAACATGGGGACTAAATGCTTTTAAAATATGCATGCTACATACAACTCTCAGGAATCAAACTGTTCTCAGAAACATGAGGCTAATGGTCAGAAACTGGTTAGTTATAGTCCCAGTCTATCCATCCAATTACTCCTCAGAGTGGGTCCCAGATACCACTGAGTGAAGGTCCTTCCAGGTAACCACACATCCAATAGCCTGAAGGAAGAGATGTGCTCTCTTCTGTAAAGCTGTAGGTCTAAGAGCCCCTGATCAGCCTTTACAAGCCATATTTTAACCAGGAATCTTACCCCCTTCCAAATTAACATAAATCTCTACTGCATCCCTGGATGAGCAAAATCCATGCTAAGAGCATGAAAAGCTAAGTTCTGAAATTGCTGAAGATCCTGGCAGGTCTTTCACAGGGCTGGGTGCAGTTTGAATTTGCAGTCTGCCATCTGTCCACTTAGCTTCTTACCATATTTCCAAATAGGAGAAAACCAGACCATTCCCCATCAGAACACATGAAAAAAGAAAAAAAAAGCCAAGTATGGCATACTTGTAATCTTAATGCTAGGGAGGCAGAGACAGGAGGATTCCCAAGGCTGGCTGGATAGTTAGTTAGTCTACCTGAATCAGAGAGTCCAAGGTTAAATGGAAGATCCTGCCTTAAAAAATAGGTCGACAGAGGTCAGAGGTTGAGGGAGGCTCTTGACATCAATCTCTGGCCTACACTCCCCACTCCATACAGACCCAGTCAACCCTTAGTTATGGAACACAGAGAAGTGATGAACATGATTTACAGGAACCCACATAAAAAAGGCTTCCTCACAATGGAAGTTCATTCTCTATTTGCTTAAGAGTGAGATGTGTGGAGCGCATGCCTTTAATCCCAACTCAGTAGGAGAGGCAGGCCTCTGAGTTTGAGGCCAGCCTGGTCTACAGAGGGAGTTCCAGGACAGCCAGAGCTACACAGAAACCCTTACTTGAAATAACAAATGAACAAACAGAGTGAGATGTTACAAAAAACCCAAGACATTGCTTTCTGGTAACCCAGAAAGATAGTCCTTCAGATATTGCTGTCTTATGCTTGTCACTGGGCATGTGTGATGACTTGATAGGCAGACATGCCTGCATATCACCAAGGTAGTTTACAGTTCCTATGTGCAAAACAGTAGAGGTCAAAGAACTAAATTATGAAACCCAAAGTTTTACCATGATAGGTCTGTGCCAGGGGCCTGGCAAGAATCAGAAACCAAGGAAGGCCCAGTGGCCAGCTTATCTTAAAACAGGGACTGGGCACTCTCTCTCTCTCTCTCTCTCTCTCTCTCTCTCTTTGTCTCTCTCTCTTTTTCTTGGTTTTTTGAGACAGGGTTTCTCTATGGCTTTGGAGGCTGTCCTGTAACTAGCTCTTGTAGACCAGGCTTGTCTCGAACTCACAGAGATCCACCTGCCTCTGCCTCCCGAATGCTGGGATTAAAGGCGTGCACCACCACTGCCAGGCCTGGGCATTCTCTCTTATCACAATAAAATCCTCTGATGGGACGGAAGTTGAGTATTGTCAGAGTTGTTGATCCTTTATGAAAAGTTAGAAATGTAGACTTCTATATGAAATTTCCTATTTTTAAAATGTCAGCAAAAAATTAGTCAAACAAAACAGCTTTGTGGTTTAGGTGCAGCTCAAAGTGGAACTTTACTAACTCCAATGATGGATTCAAGAGCAATTAAGATAGATGCTTGTGACTCAATGATTTGCATGTGGCACAGAGCCTAGGAGGTGCCTGAAAACACTGACCACTCACATTCCTGATTGGTCTCTGCCTCGGCCGAATGTTTTATAAATTCGAAAATAGCCCTTGGGACTCATAAGGCAGTTTCAGAGGCAAATAGGTCTATTCCATGTCTATAGTAAATACTACTTTCCAGTAAATCAGGGTCTCTTACCTGTGCTCTCCTGAGAATGTCAGCTTGTCAGTGCTTGCTGTTTGATAGACTTTTGCCATAACTATTGTTTTTTCCAAAGGCCCTCATACTCTCTCCAGCTTCAGGTTGCAATCTCACATTTGGGACGGTAAAAATAGAAGACACTGAGGAGAAAACAAAAAGTTTCTATTTACATATTGACAACATTTTATTTAAAAGAAAATGGACATTGCAATGCAGTCTGGATGTCCAGCATGTGAAACACTGTGGTACGTGGTGGTATTTGAAATGCCAAGTGGTCAAATGTGCACACACACAGTTACATACATTTACACACACACACACACACACACACACACACACACTTGTATGAAGTGGAGCCACAGCTCCCATTTCTATGACCTTAGAAAACTAAAGTTGGATATGGAGATAAGTCTTTGCCATTCTCTCAGTCACTCATGAGGGAAGTAGTTTTTTACTTCAACATTTCCTGGGAAATTGCAGAATCCTGTACCATACACCTCAGAGTAGAAGGAAATGCTTGCCTTGGGACCTTCAGACTGGGAAAGACAAAATACGCAACCAAATAAGTCTAATAAGTAATGGTAACTGTTATAAAGAAGCAAAGAAGGAAAAATGGAGGCTGGAGAGAAGGTAACAGCTGTCCCTGATAGAGAAGGGATGGTTTGAGCAGCCACATGAAGGTGAGAGGGCAGGTAACCCTGGGGGGAAAGCAAGCACAAAACATGTAAAGAGGAAAAGCCAGAGCTGACTTCAGGGAGGCAAGAGAAGAGGTCAAACCAGCTAGGCTGCTACTGTGAACATTCTGTAGGGGCTAGCAGCAAGGCAAGTAACTTGGGGGAGAGTGACAATTGAACTGAGGACTGAGGTATTAATATGTGGAAATGTGTGACAGGAGCAGAGGAAACAATGATTACCTTCATCACTCAGAAAGATGCTGTTGCCATTTATTCTCAAGGGTAGGAATTCAGAAGGAGCAGGTTGGGGCAAAAAGCTTATGAGTTTGATTCTAGTCATCCTAACTTTTAGGTGTCTAGTAGATGACTGAGTGAAGAAGCTAACAGTCATTGACTAGGAGAGTCAGGGGAGCTAGCACTAGGAATAGGCAGTTAGGAGCGGCCAGTTAGCAAGGTCTAAGGAGGATGGATGCCCTGGAGCACTAACTCTGCACCTTAGCCTGCCAGCCTGCCAGGCATGAAGAGTTTGCCAGGGGAAGTTCCAGGAGGGGAAAAGGAAACCAAGAAAGAACCCTGCCAGGAAGCCAAGTGAAGGAAGTATCAGCAGGAAGAGGTGGCTACTGACAGAGAAGGTGAGAGCTGGGCAAGCTCCAAAGACAGGTGCTGACACAGTACTGTAAGAGTTACTGCTGCCTAGGTGGAAAACAGCCAAGACTCAATAGGAAAAGGAAAGAGCAGAGTGTTCAAAATACACCAGCAAGGTGATGCAAGAGCTTAATCCCAGCACTAGGAGGGCAGAGACAGGAAGGAAGCTCAGAGAGTTCAAGGCCAGTCTAGTCTACACAGTGAAACCCTGTCTCAAAATAAATAAATTTATTATAAAAAGATGGCATGACAAACGGTATAATAGCATGGTGGTGTTATGGTATTACAGAGGATCATGGGGGTGAAGCTACAAATATTAGGTCTGTAAAGGTCCTTCCTCAGCTTGCTCTCTGAATGAGATCTGGAAGCAGAGAGGACGAAGGCCCACATCCACAGTGGCCAGGACCTGTTGAGCTGAGCTTCCAGCCAGGGTATCTGAGGCCCAGCTCACAGACCTCCACACTGGACCAATTTGCTGGCCTTCTTTTAGGAGATTTGAGTCTTATGAATTAGCAAATGAATGTAATAAAATCAAGGACTCTGTACTGTGAAGTATATTTTGTTCATTTACTTTGACAAGGATAGTTGAGCTTCAATTATTTATGTAACTTGATAATATACACAGGAGAATGCCCCGTGGTGTGCTCCGGGAAAGTAATGAATTTCTTCTAAATCAACCCTCTATTTATTTCCCTGCAATTAAATCTTTGTGAAGAAGTAGAGCAAGGCTGTTGGGGTTTGGGGACAGGAGGGGAATGACACTGTCACCATCCTTGGTTAGCTTTAACTGCCAGACAGATCCCTAGGTAATTGTACAATTACTTTCCTTGATGTATTTATTCTGTTTCCTCCTTTGGTGACATTAATAGTTCCCTTCTAAATTTTCTCATTAGGTGACTACAATAAATGTTCTAATGGGCTTCAGTGGCCATTTTGAGAATCCCTCGAAGCTTTCTAATACCCCCATCAGGGCTTGGCCACCCACAACACACTTACACTTCAACACTTCCTATCCCTGTTCCTGGTGAATCCAGATCAGCCTTAGTGGGTGTACTATCTGCTCCCTGGTGGTCACTTCCCTAGGAGGCCCAACCAGAACCACTGACATTGACTCTCACATCTATGTGGGTGTCAGACCCATGGGTCTGACTAATCAACTCAGGTCAAGGCTGGAGACCAATATTCCTTTTTTAACTTATTTCACTTTCTGCCTTAAGTTGTTTGTTTGTTTTGTGGACATGCTTCTAAAAATTGCTACGAGTCATCAGAGACTAAGATCTTAGTAGCATGAATTGTGTCCCCTTCCAAGTTGATGTTAGCGCCCAGCTCTAGTGTGTTGGTGTCTGGGAATGGGACCTTTGGGAGGTGATGAAGCTTAAATGACCTCAGGAAGAGGGTGGTCCTCATGATAGGATTAGTAGCTTTATAAGAAGAACAGAGAAATGTTCTCTCTACCCTGTAAGGACCAAGCAGGCTGGGCCTCTGCCAGCCGTGAAGACAGTCCTCACCAGGAACAGAAGAATCAGCCAGCACCTTCATCTTCAACTGTCCATCCCCGGGAACTGTGACAATAAATATCTACTGTCTCAGTCTCCCACCCTCTGCTATTTCCTGATGACAATGTGAGTTGACCAAGACAGCTAGGCTCCTGGAATTGGTGAATTGGTACAACCACTGTGGACACATCTATTTGTTGGTTCTGTAGTACTTCTTGACAGGTCCGTCTTTCCCCAAACTCCCTTGAAAGGGAAAACATGAGGGATGTTGCTGTCACAAATTCTGCCATTTGTTAGACAGTGAACTTTACAAGAATCTACACTAATCTGAAGTTTAACTTGAAGAATCTCAAGAATTTCTGAGTACAGTCAGCTGAATACTAACTCAGACAAGAGTCACACAAGCCTAATTCCCAAAGTCACATAAGTCTGGGGATTCTTTGTTTAGCAAACATGTTTACAAGGGCAGCCACGTTGTTCTAAATGGAAATGACTATAGTATTTAATACTGGGATTGTCCTTTCTTGCGAATGGATTTATCCTTCATAATGATTATCTTCTAGACACAGAAATAGCATTTCTGTAACTCAAAATTGTTACCGGAGGCATTTAGTAGAATCTTGCTTTAAAAATATAATGATTTTTCATCTTTATTCTCCCCCCTTCAAAAGGTTTCCCTGCTCGTGATGTCTAACGTTATGCAGAGACGTGTTTCTGCCAATGAATATCGCCTTATGGTTATGCTTCTGCAAATAGCCTGCTGTGAGCTGATAAAGGGATTAATGCAGCCAAAATTCTTAATCTGTGAAATTACAAATTAAATTCTCATATTAAAAATACCACCCTGAGGTATTTTTTGTGGTTTTAATTCCCCTCTGGTGTTCTGCATACATTGTACTTGTTAATGACGGGGACAAGGCTGTCTCGGTTGGCAGTCTGCTGCTCAGTGATAATGTGTAGGTATTTACTCCCTTACAGAAACTGGATTTAACCACTGGCTGATAAACTAAGTGGCAAGTGGGTAATAAGTCCCTATTAACAGGAAAGTACTACTACAGAATTCAGAATTCACAGACCCTCAAAATCTGGCTTAAAGTCAGTCATCAAGTTGACTGGAATTGAGATGTCTCCAAGGAGGAGTGAGATCAAGGTAGGAGTTGTACAGCATGGGGAAAAGAAACCCCAGTTCTGAAGTCCAGGCACTGTAAATTAATGGTCCCATTGTGCCTTTTGTATTTTCCAGTAGAAGGATATGCAAGATCAATTCATTACTTTGTTGTCTTTTTTCATAGTTTTAAATTTTGAATTATCTTTTAAAGTTTGGGATCACTATTACAATAAAGGGTAGATCTTTAGAAAGGAAGTAAGATGGGTAATAAAGGAAGTTAGTTTGGGAATAACAGAAATATTAATGAAGTTGTGTAAGCATAAGGAGAGTATCAGGTCAATACATCTATAGTTACCTCAGGGCAACAAGAAAATGGATAGGAATAAATTTGAGATAGAAACATATTATATGTATTATATATAGATTATACATATCAAGATATATAATTTAGGTTAAGAAGGCTCAATGGAGTTGTTAATTAGGATTTAATTCCAAAATAAAGGGTGACTGTGACTGTTTGCTATGGGAAATCCAATAGTTCAGGGGCAACCAAAAATCCTAGTGACAAAGGAAGTAACTTCATATCTACTATAAGTGCTGTATGTATAAGAATTAATAAGTGCATTATAAATATTTGTGAATCTATGCAGTATCCTATTTTTAAGGCAATCATGAAACTATGTTAAGAAATATGTCTAATAGGTTTATGAAAAAATGTATATCACCACTGAGTAAAAATATTCCTACTGCTGCCACAGGGTTTTTCAAAATTTCACAAGAATTTTGTTTCACACTTGGGAAGAAAGCTGAGATCCACCCAGCCATAAATCCTTCCCCAAATACTTTAAATGTAATTGAAAAAGCCTGTGCAAATATGAGCACTTTTGTAAAAACAAAACAAAAACCCACCCAGGAATGTGTTTTGTTTTAAAAAAGATCTAGAGAAGAGCTGTCTGTACAAATACCAAGAGCATGTGTAGTTAAAATGAATTACATGTCTTCAGTTCTTACATGTCAGCTCAGTGCACTGGCCAATTGGCGGCTCTGTTCTTAGCTCACTGCCTAACAGTGCTCTTTAAGGTTATTGTTACAACCAAGATGGTCTCCGAAAATCAAACAGAAATGAATCATTTTTTTCCTCTGTGTACTGGAGCCAGTTAAAATAGCCCTGTGTGCAGAAAGCACTAAATATGTAAATCATATTCCCCTTGCCTTTATGACTACTCAGATCATTTTTTGGACACACACATAATCAAATACAAAGACATGCAGCTGCAGACTGCAGAGTAGAGATAGCAAAGAAATGAATCCATTTTCTTTCTGTGTCTGGTAAGCTAGCAATTGAATGGCAGGACTCCAATAAATATATATACACACAATCCCCCTTCTGGCTTGAGCGATCACATATCTCTCTCTCTCTCTCTCTCTCTCTCTCTCTCTCACACACACACACAACCTTATGTTTATGTTTATGTTTATGCACACATGAATGAGCCCGTCTGTCTATATGCATGCTACATATTGATGGCAAAGTGCTTTGATTGGATGCTGCAGATGCATCCCACTCACTATCAGTCAGCTCCCATAGCCGCGGGGGCAGATCGCTGAAATACTCGTGGCTCAAGGCAGCCTGTGCAGATAGCCTGTTCTTTGGGGAACACTGTAGAAGCTTGGAAGCCAGATCTTCGGCATGATTTACATAGCTGAGCCTAAAAACACAAGCAAAAATAGGAAAATCAGACCAAAGAAGAGTTCCACTAAATAGGACCTCAGGCTGATGCCATGTTTTATGTACTTCAGTTGATTCCTGGCCACGAAAGCAACTTAAATTACCTGCTGAAATAAACAAACCAAAGGCATATGTGTGCTTCCAGTATCTGTTACTCTACACTGACCTTTTCTCTATATATGCTAGGTACTGTTGGCTGAAAATATTTTGACTGTAAGCAAAGTACTGATTATTTCAGAATGGATGAAAGTAAGTCTAGAAGTAGAAAATTAGAGAAGACAGTTTATCAAACAGTTGCCAGCATTTATTCATAGAATCTTTGTACAGCATGCACATATGGATGCATTTATAGGAAATTAATACCAAAAAACCAGGAGAATTAAAATAGAGCTGCTATTACATTCTCTAGTTACTAAAATTACCTTTCCTCTAAGAATTTATATTTTCTTGCCTGAAGTATAAAATTACTGAAGCAAGTGTCCTGCCAAATGCCAGGCATTCTGATACGAGCATCCAGGTTAGCAAACAGATATGCTTAAGTGATACGGGGCAGAATCAATTCAAGATGACCTTTAAAACAACAGTAGATAGAGGGTATGTGTCTCAAGATTATTGGAGAAAAGGAGAGAAGCAAAGCCTTTGATGTGGTATAAGCTTTCCAATGGGTGGCAGCCATGCTCAGTCAGCCCAGCTCTGCTTTTCATGGAAACTATTCTGCTGGTCAGAGCAATCAGACATGGGTAATTAACAAAACACCAATGATAGCCCCTTTACAGGGAGTAAAACATATGGCAGGCACTTTCTCAGGCGCTGTTCCCATTCTCATAGTTATTACAGCCCAACAAGGAAACTACCCCCACTTGACAGTGTGGAAAGTAGGTAGGAAATGGTGGTGAAATGCTCAACAAAGCAAGCCATGTTCTCCAAAGGCTTTTAGCCATGGATCCCTGTGTTTCTGCAAGCAACGCTAGCTACCTGCATCTACCCTCAAGGCAGCCTGATGAGGCTCAGGGCCAAGCTGCTCTGGGAGTATTTTTAAAAGTCTTGAAGCTACTGGGCATGCCATTAGCAGCAGATGCCCTTCCTCAAGCACCGGCATGGCACTCAAGTATCTCTGTAGTCAGAAGGCAAAGCTGCTAGGAGTGAGCTGTGAAGGGGAAAGGAGGTGACGGACTTCAGTAGAGAGGACAGAGCGGAGCATGAACAGACCTTGCTAAATCTTCCTATCTGAAGGCTTCAGGAATGGATCCACTGCTGCAATGGGTTCGTTTTAATCTTCTTCCCTTTTACTGACAGAGTTGTGGACTGGTTTTAAGTGTCTTTGGCTGAGAGACATTTGTTCACAAGAAAAGGAGGAATTCTCAAGGTCCTTCCCTCCCTTACAGATGGTTCAAGTCACTAACATTGTATTTTCCGGTCTCTAGACATTCTCATGCTTACAAAGTTGTCATTAATATTTCTAAATATCAAGTTTGAAATATACAGACTTCACAATAAAAACATGACTATATTGAAAGTACTGTTTATATATTACCACAGCAAACATTCCATTCCTATCAATTTTATAGCACTTTGATAAAACAGAGCAATCAAGCCAGACTGGAATCAGATCCAAGTTTTGGGCCTGACACAATTTTGGACAAATTAAATGAATATCATTTATTAAAAGAAGAAAGAATGCTGTCAATCACACCAAACCCTATGTTGCTATATTTTGTATACATAAAGAAACAAGTGATAACAATATTTGGTATGTCAGCCTCCAACACTAAATTCATGACTATAAATGTGTAAGATACAAAGCAATGCACACTCTTTTCTTTTTCTTTTTGGTTTTCTGAGATAGGATCTCAATTTGCAATCCAGACTGGCTTGTCAGTCACTATTAGTCAAAGCTGGTCTTGAACTCATGATCACCTTCCTGCTTCAGCTTCCCTACCATGTCTAGCTTAACATATATTATTTCTAATCTTAATTTGCTCATCTAAAGAATAACATGGATGAACCATGTGAGCTGGCAGTCCCCCCCACCCATTTCCAAGAGCTTTGTGTACACTTGAGGCATGGCTTACTGCTTTGAAGAATGTTGTGTTTATAGTTTTGCCTTTGCTTTTGCATTAGATTCTTGATTATATTGAATTACAATGAATTATACCTAAATGTAAGGAATACACACCAATATTAGACAATCTCATTCTTCCCATTATATATCAAAATTATGCACAAAGTTAGATTCATAAATAAAATTCTGGTTTAACAATTTTACTACTTTCTCAGTTTTACTTCAAGAACCAGCTTTGTCCCATTTTTTTTCCCATGCATTTTTAGTAGCACAGTTTCCGTCATTGACTCTGCTTTGGGCAATAAGTTTTGCCTGAAGCCATCTGTTTACCATACCATAGTGGTATAATGACTGTGGTTATTGATCTTCTATTATGATGACGTATTTTTCATATCTTCCTATACACTCATTAGTGTTTTTTTTTTATTTTATGCTGTGCAAGGCTGGTAATTAAGTGTGTAAGTTTCTAGCAATGGTACACTTTACACATAAAGTAAGACTTACATCCTCATATGATCTTTTCTACATCTAATAAGACATTCTAAGTTAAAGTTCACATTTTCTCTCATTAATTTAATGACCGCATATGTCTTTGGATTAGTATTCTCTGACACCTTTTGCAACCTGATATATATATATATATATATATATATATATTACATAGCTGGGCTTCATTTTCATGCACTCAAGCAATTCCTGTGGATTAAGAAAGCTGAGTCTATTTTTCAGTATTGGAATATTCGGAATTGCTGCTATCAGGGTGATTTCGCATTGCCGTCTTACCTTCCTATGCCTTTTTCCTTTCCTACTTTCTTTCCAATTGAATTTGAAAATTCAGTGTTTCTGCCCTCTGTTTAAGTGTTATATGAAATATTTAAATGCTCTTCTGTGTACTAGTGGCTACTCTTAACTCTTTTTCTCTTTAAGAAAAAAGTGTCATTATTTCCTTAGATGTTTAAGATCTTGCAGAAAATTTTCATAAGATGATAAAAAACAAAAACCCCCAAATCTGATCACACATCTATGCTTGAAGTAATATCAATATACGTTACAATTTTCCTGATTATACAATTTATAAAATATGCAGATATTAAATTACACAGATCATCTGGCATATAAAGTATTAAATGCATTCTTAATTCATTAGCAGAATCTCCTCTTTTTACAAATGAAATTGTAAAGAGAAGAAATTAAAGCACGCTTGTCACAAAAATATTTGGCAAATAGCTTTCAATAGATAAGAAAAATATTTCATAAAGATTAATAGTTTTTTTATGGTAAGAATTATTGCTGGTTGTGGTGACAGATGCCTATGGGGGCAGGCTATCAAAGAGGCAGGGTGAGGAGTACAAGGCCAACCTGAGCAACTCTTTAAAAACAATCTGGGTGTGGTGGGACACGCTTTCAATCACAATAGTTGAGAGAAGTAGGTAGAGCTCTGGGAGTTGGAGGCAAGCCTGGTCTATACATGAGTTCCATGCAAGCCAGGTGAAATCCTGTCTCAAAACAAAGACATACAACCATTGAACATGCCTACCTTTAAAAACAAAACAACAAATAAACCCACTTAAGCTTAAAGTCATACATACTGGAAAATCAAATATATTTTTCTTAAAAAAATACTTAGTAGCTCACTCCAAGTCATTCTTCAGGCTTTCTGGTTCAAGATGTACCATAAAGAGCAAACATTACATGCATTTCCATTCTTTGCCTGAAATATTAAAGATATATGCTTCTACATAATGTGGACTTCACACGAACCTTTTAACTAGAGATTTATGATTTTTCAAAATAGTGGCTTTTATAATAGCACAAAATAAAATTTATAGACAGACATTAAGAAACCATAACTCTTGGACCTCGGCCAAGAAAATCAATGGCTACCCACTTTTGTTGTGTACTGTTTGATACATGGGAGACATGAAGAAAGAACAAAAGGCAAACAGTCAATACAAATAGTCAATACCCGACTTGCCTGAGTTTGAAATGACTGAGGGTAGACTGCAGCTCTAGACAGCTGTTTGTACCCCACAATTCCAGTTCTGAGAGATGACAAAAGCTCAATGACTCCGCGCATCATTCATTTACCTAATCTCGCTAAATGGTTCCTATAAATGACAGGATTCTGACACAGAAACAGCTTTAGAGATGTCACCAGTACTGCTGATTTCAGAAGGGCCAGCTGATACAAATGGCAAGCACACCTTAGGTGCTGGAAGGAAGGAAACATACTTGCTAAGCTGGGATTCCTTTGAGCTTTAGGCCTGGGACACTGCCTATCAATATGCATATAGTGGCTCCATTGGGCTTCCTCTGTATGATGAGGCTGATCCTGTTTCCTTTCCTTTAGAAGGCAGTTTCATTGGCTCCCATGCTTTTCTCTGTGCCAACTTTAGCGAAGCATGCAGTTGTCCTTTAGGACAGTACTTTTCCAAATGTTAAGTTCCACTCCACCTTAATATCTAGAAGTTCACCCCATCTTCAGTTAACTCTAGAGCAGCAAACAGTGAAACCCTTCCAAGGTCTGCAACCCCCTGACTGCAGAACAACAATCAGTTTTCTAAGTCACAGCCCGACATTGACAGCCTGATCACTGGCCAGTCCTGAACTGGTGCCTTCCCTCTCAGGAAAGCAGCATTGGCACTTGCTTCACACATGCTCACGTCACGGTAGCGCCATGAATTTTCAGTTTTCTCTAAGTTTACTGAAGGTCACACTGACCCGATTGTCCTGTGTATGACTTCACAAGCTGTGACTTGTCATGGGAAAGAACTCTCAAGGGGGACATTTAGAAAGAAGTCTGAATACTGTATGCAGAAGTATTGTAAAGAAAACTTAATGTAACAAATCCTGAGAGCCGGTGAAGCTGAATTAACAGAAAGAGAATGAATGTCCAAAGGCAGCAGTGGTTACTTTTT